ACACACACACACACACACACACACACATACACACACACTCCTATGCGGTAAATCAATGTTACAACGATCTTATTATTGCAAAGAAAAATTATATACTATTTCTGTTTGAAGGTAAAAGGGCTCCTATCTTAATATGACTTATAGAAATATTTGTCGCGAGAGTCTAAACTATGAATAAAAGTAAAGAAGTGAAATTAAGATTTCATAGAATAAAAAGCTAAATATTCCTACCAAAGTTAATTTTCGAAATCTTGCGTCGTAAAATTATTGTATTGATTGTAAAAATTTAAAATATAAATATTGTTGTGAACGCCTCATTCCTGCAATTTTTCGAATTTCCGCAGTAAATTTACAAATCAAGAGCTGTACCTTATAAAGTATTTATGATGTTATTAAAACGTTTAATCCGCTATAATTTTAAATTCTTCCTTTTTATTTACCCCGTTGTTGCGCGATGATTTTTTTTTTTTGTTACTTTAAAGCAAATCAAAAAATTATGACTTGCCACACTAAGTGGAAAAATATTGAAAACTTATTGTGAAAGATTAAAATTCTGATATCATAAAAAAAATATTGCAATCTGAGAAAGAATGACTTCTAACAAAATCTCTAATAATATAAATCATGTGGAGCCAAGAGTTGGAGGGATTAATTTCTAATTGTTAGTCCATGATATTGATGTTATCAGTTTCAAAAGATAAGATTAAAAGTTTCAAACTTCACAAGATAACAACTTTATTTATGTTCATATTTTAAATTTTTGTATATCGTAATTTATACCGAATAAATTATAATCTGCTCAGCGCAGGAAATTATAGTCGTTAAATTTGTAATGAAGTAGTATACAGTACATATACCAATACATGTATTTTTTCAATTCAAATGACAAACATGCATTTAGCATAATACCATATGCGTACTTTCGATGATTGACGAAATTCACTTATTCTAGTACTGTAAATTCATTTTCAAAATTTCTACAGCGAAAATTTATGCAATAATTTGTATCTATGATAATAATTGAATGTAAATGTAGTTTAATCATCATGAAATCCATCATGAAATAGGTGACAGAAAATAAAAGATGTTCGTCGCTGTATTGTAGAGTTTAAGTAAGAAAAAAATGAGATTTTTAAATGAAATGAAACGGCTTGACTTTTTTATAGTTCATGTTCTGTAACTATCTCCGGAGAATGTACGCGATATTTTCCTACAATTGGGATTATTTCTATTGATTGTAACTCTATCTTTTTTTCCCCAGTTTATTTTGCTGCTTCATAGCAATGTTTTTCCTTTCTAACGTATTTTGAATTTTGTAATTTTATACATCTAGAAATCCTATTATGTTCGATCTTAATTTCAAATCTATTGATCGTTGCTCTGAAATTTACAAGATCTATTTTTACTTTTAAAAACATCCTATGTACGTGACAAATCCGTGTAATTGGAAATGTCCTATCAAAAGCAATATTATTAGTCGCGTTTTGTGATACAGAAGTAATGGGGAAAGATACAAAAGCATCTTTCTCCATCACAAAACACAACTAATATAATATTAAACATTTTAAATAATAATTATTTCCTGGGGAATTTTTTAATTGAAGAATAAAAAAGTTCCGGAAAAACTAATTACAATCGTTATTACGGTCACTTAGTCACACCTAATACTTCTCTTTTTTTCTAGGTGATGCTATTGTAAGTGTGTATGATATTAATTACTTTTAAATGCTTTTGGATCTGTAAAATGTTTTATTTTCATTTATTCTATTCCATTATTCAATACCTTTTAATTAATAAGTTCAATTGATTCCTTATTTACTATTGTGCTCTCTATCCCGTACTTTGATTATTGTGGTAATTGCTGAAGTGTGTATTTGTCATTTATTTTTTATAATTATTAAACTTCTGTAGAACTTAATAATATGTCAAAAATAATAATAATACATCAAAATCAAAAGCAAAATAAAAGTCATTACGTGACCATCACTTAAATTTGCTTTGGTACTAGCATAATATAAAGACTTGATTCTTTTTTAATTAATTTTCTATTGAATAAGATTGATTTTATTGCTTCTCGTCGATTTATAAAAAAGAATGTAAATGTCAAATTAGAACCAAAATCGTCATATTAACTGCATTTTATTTTTTTATTTCTCTCTCATTTTTCCACGAGTTGTTTATTTAAGCATTCATTTTCTAAAAAAGTTTAGTATCTCAGGGAAAATGACTGTTTGAAAATAATTCATCTAGATACAGAAAATGCTTTATAAATTTTTCAATTTTCAGGATAAGTACTTTTTCCCTTTCCCATCCTTCCTTGTAATTTGCAGTTTTTCGCGTTCATATCCTTCATTGTTATCGTGTACTATTATCATCTCTTATTCTCTACTCTAATTTTATCCGTCATACATACTCTGATTTGTGTCGGCACTTCTTAAACCGCGCCTACAGTTATAAACAGTACTTATTGCCATTCTTTCCTTATCGTTTCTACTTTTGACGAGAATTACAAATATTTCATATATTCATTAGTCGTTTATACGCAATATTTAATCTCTTTTCTGAGTTACACGTATATGCTACATATCACTGTCTAGTTTTATGATTTAATATATAGTAACATTTTCTATTTAACTATATTCAATTCCAATTCTAACAATACGCAATCCAAGCAAACAACTCCGAAACCCGTTTTGTGATACAATAAACAAAGAAAGTAGAAGATGGTACCAGGTATCCACAGGATCGTAGACAGTGATGTAATAATCAGAGTTCCATAATGTATGACAACATGGGAATAATGTTGGCAAGGATACTGCGAAGCCTAATGCATAGCCAAATAATATTGCAAGTAATGCTTTTCGTGGTGAAAATATCCATTTATATTCCATTGGATAAACTATGCTTACAAATCTACAAGCTGTGCTTTTAGAAAGATAAAAATTTTATTTGCTATTTTCAAAATAATAAACATGACAGTTTACCCAGATATGATAATAATGGAGATATTTTCATGTCTGATTACTTAACTTGGAAAAGCTAATAATGGAGGTTGAACTTATTTTGCGACAAACACTAAAGGTTGTAAATTTTACTCAAGATTTGTTTATTTAAAATATATCTAAACGATCCATAATTCGTTTCTTAAAGAAGTTGAATTTTAAATAAATTTCCAAAAATTGTTTGCGAAATGACAAACCTGTTACATGCCATAAGTCCTAATTGTAAAACAGCTGTGTACCAAAAAAGATCATAGAAGAATATCATAAATATATTGCGAACCGAGTGAAAATCTAGAAAGGCACTATGAAAAGCTGTCGCAGGCACAAGGTGAGCTAAACTGATCACTACCATTATTATATCGCAGGTGGCCAACGACGTTATAAACCAGTAACTGAAATTATATATTTACATGATAAAAATCGCACAAATAAGTGCTAGAAGTTTTTTGGAAATAAATTATAAATGAAGCGAATTATGAAAAGAAGTAAATCCCCTCAAAAAAGACAGAAAACATTGTTATTACCGAACAACACATTTTTTGTAATTTCAAATTTTCCAAATCGAAAATTTTTGTATATATAGGTGATTTAAACGGTAGGTATTTTAACTTTTCAAATTTTAGGCTATAATTTGTGAATTTCACTTGACAAGAATTTAAGTAATAGAAATTTTTGGATCGAATAAAGAATATTATTTCACCGATCTGATTAAAATTTCTCCTCCATATCTTCTTTTTCTGAAGAAATGCATTCATGAGATAAGTAAATTGATTTATGATAAGTAAATTGATTTATAAGAAAGAAATGTCATTTAAAAATAAAGTGTCGCCAGCTTTTCAGCAATTCCCTCTTTTCAATGACTTTCAAGAAATTTAAAAATAGTGCAGAAGAGGCAGAGAGATGAACTTCACTGGAAATGTTTCTCATTCACTCAGCAAATCCTAAACTTTCTATTCTTTTATTCTTCTCTCTCTTTCTCAGCAAATAAATTTGCTTACTACGCAACCCTAACTTCACTTCAATAATAACTAGTGAAAAAATTATTCCCAAATAATTAAAATATATTACAAAAAAATTTGTGGTAATTAAATGAACCGATTTTAATGGAAAACATCAAATATAAAATTTATTGAAATATTTTGTGAAACAAAATTAAATCACACAGCTTTGTATCAATTTGTTTCAGAAATGACCAGAATATAGACCATAAAATGTGGTATCACACCTATTTAAAAACAAAAAGGACATTTATCCTGCCGTTCTTTCCCCATTGCTGTATATCTCTAAAAGTTTTGTTAGTCGCTTACTGTCTAAAATGATATGATTAAGTGAGAATGCTGACCAAGAGATAAATTTTTAAACTTCCTGAATAAAATTGCATGCGTTTTTTACTGCACTATATGCTTTTCTCAAATAACAACTAATTGAAATTGGAAGAAATTTCCAAATGCTTACCGTTTTATGAGCTCATTTGATGGTATACTATTGAAAGCTTTTCTATCTTTCACTCAAAAATTACTAACAGTGTAGAAGATTAAAAATTAAAATGATGGCTTATCGATGCGAGAAGTGAATTAGATTATAAATAAATTTTTACAGGTTTATAGCATCTTCAATCTCTCCTGATGCTGCAATCGGCTATTGATAGAGCGACATTTCCTTCTCAATGCCTTCTCGTATTCTTATTATTGGCTGCTAGCACATAATTTTGAAATCATTGCTCATTTTTCTGCAGCATTCCTTTCGCTTATCCAAACGTTTTCAGAGGAGACTCTTTTCAATTGGCAATTGCACTTTTTTTCATTCGAACTTTTGCTATGATGATATAATCATTTACATTATTTTAGTGCAGTGCAAAA